CTACCTACCTATCTCCCTTCTGATTCACACCAATTGCTGGAGAAGAGAGCAGTCCTTCTCACCAAACGTTGCCCGGGATGAAACCGGTGGCCCCGGTAGTCCTTGACCCCTCCAGCCCATCCTGCTTTTCCTAGGTCCGAACTCAGGGTCCCATCCTCACAGCCAGCGGCAAGAATCCGGTGATGGAGCTCAACGAGAAGCGGCGAGGCCTGAAATACGAGCTCATCTCCGAGACAGGAGGAAGCCATGACAAGCGGTTTGTGATGGAGGTGAGGAGGATCCCCCCCCCCCCCCTCAGGCCTGGGACCTCCTCTGGGGGTGACGCCCAGCCGGGGTGCCAATGGCCCATCTCGCTTCCAGGTAGAAGTCGACGGGCAGAGGTTCCGAGGGGCTGGCCCCAACAAGAAAGTAGCCAAGGCCAGTGCTGCCTTGGCGGCTCTCGAGAAGCTCTTTTCGGGCCCCAACGCGGCTGCTAATAAGAAGAAAAAGATCCTCCCACAGGTGAGAGGCCAGGGGCTGCACCTCGGGCGGCCCAGGTGGGTCCGAGTCCTTGTGCAAGCTTCCAAAAAGTCAGCAGAAGCCCAGAAGAATTGGGTGGGACGGGGGGGGGGGGGAGAATTTTGGGGTGGAGAAGAAGGGAGGGGAAGTGGAGTGGTGCGGTGGCCTAGAGATGGAGCTCTTGCCTCACATTCTGGAAGGGTGTGAGTTCGATCCTAGGTAGAGGCAGATATTCCTCTGGACATATTGAGACTATATCTGCTGAATATAACTCCGCATCGGTGGCAGGAAGGGCATCCGGCCAGGAAACACCCGGCTCCATTCAGTTGCCCAGAGTCCACCCGGCAAGGGATTATGGGATCATTTAAAAGGAGAAAATGAAGAAGGGAGGGAAGTAGATCCAGCTGGAGGGAACTGTGACTTCATCCTTCTCCGCCTCTCTCCGCAGACCAAAGGAGGGATCGTAAACACAGCCATGTCTGCAGCGGCGCGAGGAAGAGGACGAGGGTCTCCCATGCGGGGGGCGTTTGTCGGGGCAGCGGCAGCAGCCACCAGTTACCTGGCACCAGGTAGAAGCAGCCTGGGTTGTCCTGTGGTTGTAAAGTGGGGGACAACTAAGACCTGCCATGAGGCTGGCTTTCTAAGGGATGAGAAGGCCTTCACGAATTGTCCTGGCTGGTCCGTATCTTCTGCTTAGATCTTTTAGAGGGGCTGAAATCCCATTTTTTTAATTAATTAATTTAATTTAATCCGGGTGCTGGCATTTGAGCACAAGCATGCAAGCGCGTGCACGATTTTTGGCACGGGGGGCCAAAAAGGTTAGCCACCTCTGCATTAGGGGATGCTCCAAAGTTGTGACGTGCCTTGGGGGATTGTAGATATATTTTGGTTACTTGAATATAAAGTATAATATAAAGGTGCTTGGGTAAGTAACCAGATAAATATCGTCTCTTTTTAACCTTTTGCTTGCTTCATTTGAGTGTATGAGATTAAAATAGGTGCAAATTAAACAGATCTTGGCCAGAAACCGGCAACGTTTATTGGGTTCTGTCACACTGCCGTTGAAATCTTCACATATGCGCAGATCAGGGACCAAAGGGCAGGTGTGTATGTGGGTTGCTATCTGCGTGTCACCACAATCACAAAGAGCAAATTCTGCAAGAGACCCTTGAATTCTGGGAGTTGAAGTTCCCAAATCTTAAAAGTTGACAAGTTTGGAGAGTCCCACTTTATGCTTCATCTGACGGAGACTCTGCTACTGGTAGTCCTTGACCTGTGATGGCTGTCAGGATTCCGGCAGTTACCCCCATTTAAATCATCTCGAGCCAAACTTCCAAAACTTCAAAAGGATTTATTGGAAGTTAACATGCTGGCACTGCCGGGGTGTAGCCAACTCTGAGACACATAATTCACTGTCACCCTTGACCCTAGTTTTCCCCTCAACCCCTCTGGGTGTATCCTAATTCATATTCTCCAATGGGACACCTCCATAGCCCAGAGTCATCAATCAGGCTCTCCAGTTAGAATTTTGCATGGTGGAAACTTCAGTCACCTAGTTACTATCTTTGAAAACATTTATGGAATGCACTTTCGATTTCCACGTTGTTGCACTGCTCTTTCAAAACTCTTTTTCCCCCTCCCTTTCTGTTGGCAACTCTAAAAAGACCATAGAAATATTTTATGAGTTGACGATGACAATTGGAACTGGGATTTCAGTCACTAAACAACGCAGTCCATTCAATGAGTCCTCACGTGACTGGACCTGATTTTTTTTTTGACCATTTTTACAGTGCTCATCCAATGCATCACACATTCGTTAAGTGAATCTGGTTACTCCCATTGACGTTTTGTTGGTTGGAAGTTTATTTTTTATTTATTTTATTTGTCAATTGCTTACAAGGTAATAGGTAGAAGTAGAAACATAGTTATGAATACATGGATACAGATAAGAAAAATAAAAAATAAAATATAAAAGAAACAATAGGACAGGGACGGTAGGCATATTGGTGCGCTTATGCACGCCACACTACAGACTGAGAGGCCGAGATCATCACAGGATGCCTGCTTAGCGTCCTAAAATAGGACTGGCGGGCATCTCTGCCACGCCCGTTTTGTCCCCCCTGGCCACCCGGGAGGACCTGTCACTGTGTCTTTGTCTGCTTCCTTTGCAGGGTATGCAGCACCGTACGGATACAACGCGGCAGCTGCCGCTGCACCGGCTTACGGTACGTCCTTCCCTTTTCCTTGCCTACGTGCAGCCATATGTATCTCCCCATTCTCTGGCCAGCTTTTATTATTTTTTGGGGGGTGGGGGAGGCAAGGTGGGGTCCCCTCTGGACAGACATCAGCCAAGCTGCTCTTCTTGCTGTGGCTTGTTCCTCTCCTGGTTTGTTTCTGCCTGACTGCGAAAGAGCTGCCTGCCCCTAACTGCCTGCTCCCTCGTTCCCCCGTTGCCAGAACCGATAAGAGCCGTCCCCTGCTTCCTGCCTTCTGAACGGCCATCTTGTGCTCCATTCAAAGCTTCTCAAAGGGCCAAATCTTCCTCCTATCTGAGAGTCGTCCTTGGTGTCCTGACCCAGCTCCCCAAACACGACAAAACCCTCTGTAGTTGAAGCAAAGATTCCTTTCATTAATTTGCTGGCACAGCCCCGGCAAAACGTTGGTCTCTCAATGCCGGCTAACAAGTCCGGCCAGCCGAAAGATGAATAGTTGTCTGCCTCATCTATTCATTTCCGCCCCCTGCCTTTTATCCCCAGAGCTAGGGTGGGGCCTCGGTAGCAACGGTGGTTCTTCCATCCCAAGGGCCGGCCCATAGATTTCCACTGCTCTCCTCTCCTCTGCCTTCGGCGCATCCATACATCAGGCACTGGACCCAGCAGTTCCTCCTCTTCCTCATCAGCCACCTCCAGACCTGGGGGCAGTTGACTCTCCATCTGAGGGCTGACAGGTCCCAAGGGGGGGGTCCCAAGAGGGGGTCAGGTCCCAAGAAACTGTAGGTTGCCCTTTGCCCACCTGGGACAACAACAACACCCCCCAGGGCTGGGCCTTCCATTGCATCTCCCATCATTCCCCAATCTGTCTGGGGGCGGATAGGAACCGAACTGTCCAGCATCCTGCCACCAGATTGGAGAAAGGGGCTGCAACCACACAGCGTTTTCCCCCATCCCCAAGGAAAGGAAAGGAGAGAAGGCCTGTTGGTTGGCGCTCGGCCTAATCCTGCGGGGCTCAGTGCCCCAGATTTTCAGCTACGAGGCCCTAACTAGCTTTGCTCTTGTTTCAAGAGTCAGCAAACCCATGTTTGGACGGGTAAGAAGCCAATTCCTCTACCTCAGAATTCTCTTTAAGAATTCCCCTGCTCCTCGACTTACGACCAGTGACCGAGCCCAAAATTTCTGCCGCTAAGCGAAAGCTTTTTGCTAAGCGAATCCTGCCCCCTTTTACGACCTTGGCTTGCCGCCGTTGTTAAGCGAATGGCTGCAGTTGCTGAGTCAGCGGGAGTGTTTCTAGGCGGATCTGGCTTCCCTGTTGATTTGGCTCCTCAGGAGGTCATAAAAGGGGATCTCCTGACACACACACACACACACACACACCCCTAGGACGCTGCAACCGTCATAACTAGGAGTCATTGGCCAAGTGTCTGAATTTTGATCAAGTGACCATGCAATGGTCTGCAATGGTCGTAAGAGTGAAAAATGGTTGTAAGTATGAAAACCGGTCTTAAGCCCCTTATTTCAGTGATGTAACTGAACAGTCACTAAACGAACTGTTGTAAGTCGAGGACTGCCTGTCCTGACCCCATCATTCAATCTACCCGTTGCAATTGATCGGGAGCCCTCCTCCCCCACATCGTTTTTCCCTCCCCAAGCCAGGGCAGGGATCTTACTCCCAAGAGGGGCTTCTAAGGCCCAAACTCCGCTCTCCACTCTCCACAGATCCTCCCCACAGCTCTTGATTTAAAAAAATATATCTTGATTTTGAATAATTGGGGGGCGGGGGCGGGGGGAACAAAGACAAAACAAAACGACAAAAAAAGAATTGGTTCTTTGATGACTTTGAATGTAGTTTCATGCAGCAACGAGGGGAAATAAATGCCTTTGGAGTCAGCAATGGCCGCTCTGCCCTGCGTTGGTCGCCTTGGTTGGGCCCATGGGAGGCTGGGAGCTGCCCGTTGTGTCTCTGCATGATTTCCTTTCCCACTGTCCTGACCCAGCTCCCCAAACATGACAAACCCTCTGAAGTTAACTCAAAAGATTCCTGTAATTAGGAGCGCCGGCAGCCTCGGCAAAAGGTTTCTCTCTCAATGCCAGCTAACAAGTCCGGCCAGCTGGGAGATGAATAGTTGTCTGCCATATCTATTCATCTTTGCCCCCTGCCTTTTATCCCCAGAGCTAGGGTGTGGCCTCGGTAGCAACGGTGGTTCTTCCATCCCAAGGACCGGCCCATAGATTTCCACTGCTCTCCTCTCCTCTCCTCTTCGTGCATTTGCGCGTCAGGCACTGGACCCAACTGTTCCTCCTCTTCCTCATCAGGAAGGGGGCTGTTGACTCTCCATTTGAGGCCTGACGGACAGCCCAGGCTCTGCGTCTCTCTCTCTCTCCCTCGGCTCCATTCCCTCTTCCCCCTCAGAGCTCCCAGGTTGCCCCGAGGCTGACCCTGACTGGATACGGCTCTAATCTTGCCAGCGTCCCTCAGGAAGAAATAAAACACTCTGAACACTGTCTGAAATAGTGTTCAGACAGGAAGGATCGGCTTTTAGGAGGGCAGGCAGCTGAGTTAAGGTTGACTCAGCCTTCCGTCCTTCCAAGGTCAGTAAAATGAGGACCCAGATTGTTGGGGGGCAACAGGCTGACTCTGTAAACCGCTTAGAGACGGCTGTAAAAGCCCTGTGAAATGATATATAAGTCTTAAGTGCTATGGCTATTGCTAAAATATATAT